CGGGGCTGGCATCCCCCACCATGATACCCAGCACCACGCACTGTGATGGGCACAACCTGCTTCGAGCTCCTGCCAGCCCCAGGCCGAACAGCCAGGCACCCAGGCACCGTAATGCCACGGAGGTCTTGGTGAGCCACCCTCTGACAGAGACCCCTGCCCCATCTCACCTTCCCTCTCGATGGCTTTCAAGTCCCAAGCTGAAACCCCTCCGTTTCCTCCCCCTTTCCCCGCTCCCTTCTCTATTAACCGAATTACGCACGGCACATCGGGGAGTCAGAGACGCTGGGAAAGGCGCTATTTAAAGAACCGGCTTTCCAAAAACAGCACCTCGAGGCTGGGCTTCAAAGACCACCCTCAGCCACCAAAATAAGTGGCCTGATTTCCAACGAGCCGAGCAGCCCCGAGGCTCTTGCCGTGGCGGCACGGCTGGGCATGAGGGCTGGGGCACAGCTCATGTCCCGCCCGTGGGCACGCACAACCCCAGGCACCAGTACAGGATGGGGCAGAGCTGCTGGAGAGCAGCTCTGTGGGGAGGGACTGGGAGTGCTGGGGGCGGCAGGTGCCCTGGTGAGGCCCCATCTGGAGTACTGTGTCCAGTTCTGGGCTCCCCAGTTCAAGAAAGATGAAGAGCTACTGGAGAGAGTCCAGCGGAAGGCTACGAGGATGATGAGGGGACTGGAACATCTCCCCTACGAGGAGAGGCTGAGGGAGCTGGGCTTGTTCAGCCCGAAGAAGAGAAGGCTGCGAGGGGACGTAATATATGCTTATCAATATCTAAAGGGTGGGTGTCAGGAGGATGGGGCCAAGCTCTTTTCAGTGGTGCCCAGTGACAGGACAAGGGGCAATGGGCACAAACTGAAGCAGAGGAAGCTCCCGCTGAAGATGAGGAAGAACTTCTTCCCTCTGAGGGTGACGGAGCCCTGGCCCAGGCTGCCCAGGGAGGCTGTGGAGTCTCCTTCTCTGGAGATATTCCAGCCCCGCCTGGCCGCGGTGCTGTGCAGCCTGCTCTGGGTGACCCTGCTTGGGCAGGGGGTTGGGCTGGGTGACCCACAGAGGGCCCTGCCAACCCCGAACATTCTGTGATTCTGTGATTCCAGCTCTGGGGCATCTCCCTGTACCCACAGGGACACTCCGGGCGGGAGGGATGGCTTGTCCCTTCTCCAGCCCCCCCACAATCATGCAGGGATGCCGGTATTGGAGGGGGAACCAGTCTGAGGGTGCCCCAGGTCCTGAGCCCTGCCAGTGGCAGCACCCTTTTTGGGAAGGATGCTTAAAATGAGCCCCCGCAGCACCAGCTTGGCTAATTACCTTGCTAGTGATCCCCAGCCTTGCTACCCTGCTCCTGCAGAGAGCAGCCAAGACACAGCACGCGGAGTCGGAAAGGAGACCGCTTTTTAAACGCGCGTCCGTCGCGGCTGGGGCCGTACTCACCTGTATTTCCAGCTGCTGTACCACTTGCATCTGGACTCGACACTGGGCCGTGCTTCGGTCATCAAGTGCATGTTCGGTATTGAGGTGTCTGGGGAGGAGAAGACGGGGGTTTGCGCCTTGACATGCCCAAAATGCGGCCCCTGCGCCGGGGCCACGCCTGGGATCAGCCCCGACCTGCAAACCACCTGCGCCGCAGCAACACCCGGCGATGCTCCGGCACTGCTGCCCGGAGCGTCATCAGCAGAAGGGAAACTGAGGCACGAAGGCAGCCAAATAAACTGGGCTGGGTCTCCTCCCCTCACCAAAAAAAAACACCCACCGGCCCTGGCTGGGGCTCCTCCGGGGCAGCTTGGCTGCAGCCGCTGGCTGATGGAAAGTCCTTGGGCAGGGCTGCTGGCAGGAGGTGCCCGGGAGGACCTGAGGAGCAGGTTTCCAGGACAAAGGCGGCATTATGGAGCTTTACTTACACCCTCTAAGGAAATCCCCCGAAGGCAGACGGTGACATTTCCAGGGTGCTCCTCGTCCCACTGCTTTCCTGGCTTATGTTTGTCAGGCACTTTATGTTTATAAAGCACAAGGACCTTTGGTCCTCGCCCTCTTTCTCAGGGAGGGCTCCCAGCAGAGTGAGCAGCTGGTGATGGGGGTGTCACCAGGACACCCTGGTATCACCTTGTGGGGGTCCTTGCCCACCACACTCAGCAAAGCGGCAGCCTGGGGATGCACCCAGCCCTGAAGACGTTGCATGGCCACGCCACGTCCTTGCTTGGGTGGGTGCAAACCCACTGGGGTCCTCACCAGAAGAGTGGGACAGGTCGGAGGGGGGATGCTGGGCGGCAGGGCAACCTGCACCAGGGCCACCCCGGGAACACCCTGAGAATTGGCATCCGATGCTGGATGTCCCAGGGCCATGGGCCAATGCCCTCCAGGACCAAGACTGAGCTACTTCTGCTGAGACATCCCAGGAGAAGGTGCCTCAGGAGTCTCTACCCTCGGTCCAGATGTGGAAGACAGCAGGAGTCTCACCCGGCTGTTTGTAAGAGCACTCCAGTCCCAACTTGCAAAAACAAGTTAGGTAACTGGGACCAGCTGCCAAGCCCAAACGTGAGCAAACCCCGCCGGTGTCTCCGGCTGGACCCTCCCCGCACAGCAGACCGAGGGCATGGCTGTTTCTCCAGGGAAAAAGCTATCGAGTCTGGGCTGTGCTGAATGGGAACGGAGACGTCTCCACCGACCCTCACAGGCTTTTCTAAACTACTGCTCAAAGGATGCGCTGCTCCTCTCCACCCCAACGCTGAGGCTTGCTGAGCTACTCCACGGAGCTGATGCTCTGAGGAGGCTCCAAGCCAGTGCCTGGACTCCAAGCAAGGTCCGTGCCGCAGCTGGGCTCAGCCTTCGGCAGCTGGAAGTTTGCCGTCTGTCTGCCCCACACCCTGACACGTGCTCACGTTGGCGGAGAGGGGACAGAAGCATCTCAGCAGTGCCGTCGGGGAGGCTGCCCCTTGGGAAGCTTGCTCCTGCAAGCACGAGGCGTGCCTGGGAGTCAGGCAGGTGGGATGCAGGGTGCAGGGACCCCACAGCCCTGGCTGGCACAGCAAGGGTCTCCTGGCACCCTGACCCAGCCCTGGCCATCCCCTGCCAACCCCAGCTCCAGCTTCCAAACCGAAGCTTGCTCATCTGCCCCGTGCCATGTAAACATGCCCGGAGAGGCGGGAGGAGATGCCTTATGGAGGTTCACCCCGTGAGTCAGAGGAAGGAGGAGGATGCAGGAGCCTGACTCATTCACTCACTCAGTCACCACCAGGCCACGCTCCCGCAGCCTCCCCCAGCAGCCTTCGCACCTCCTCATCCTCCTGCGTGAGGCCTGCCCAGCTCCTTCCCTGTGAAGGAGGCGGCTGCTGTGGTCCTGGGGATGCTCCCACCAGAGCCAGCCCCC